ACATTGGGGTCCGGCGGCTGGTGGAAGATCTGGAGGTCCAGAAAGGGGCACTGATCACCCAACACAACTACACACTCTGTGTATGTCCAATACAGGCTGTGTTTCAGCAGGGTTTTTGGAGTTTGGTACAATATTTTAAGACTGCTGATATTTAGTACCCACAGAGGAAGAAATGACAATCATTTATCACTATGTTAAACATTTTGTTAACCAACAGAATTTTAGCAGGGCAGCTATCACTTTGTATCTCTTTGTATTGTAAAACTACTACAACATGTAATACAACTAGTGGTTCTGTACCTACATTCAAATTAGCTTCTTTGATAAATAAATCGTATTGAAAATTTGTTACTGTAGAAAAAAAAAAACCAGTATTACAATATGTGGCGACATGTTCAGTGTCCTTCCGTCAAACATTTAAAAAACACACTGCACATGGTTAGGTAGAAAAGCTGCAAGTAGGGCAAACGTTGCAATAATTCACCTATAATGTAGGAATTACATGAACAAAAATGTTAACTGGGGCAGATAAAATGACAAAAATTAGAAAAACGAGTCACCTTGTTGAAGTTCTCAATAAGGATTTCCACAACAATGTTCTGGAACTTGATGTTCATCATGGCAGCCACAGTCTCCTCTTGTGACCGCATCAGGGTGGGCCCGAAGATGACACCCAGGTTGGACACTGTCATCAGGTTGAACTGGCTTTGTTTGGAAACTCTACAGGTAAAAAAAGGAGTTGCACACTTTTAAGTAACGTACACTGCTCTCTTTCATAACATCCACCATGTAATGATGTGGTGATAATTTAATTCTTTCTCAAACACCTTTAGAGAAACCTGCAAATGCATCACAGGTGTCCCAAAGTGAGCAAACAATTTCATCAGGTTGAGTCATTTATTATCTTTTAAATACTGCTGCTCTTTTTCTAAGGGCTGCAGTGTAACTGGTCCATTGCCGAAACACATACGTGACAAGGTGTTTTATTAGTAGCTCCAGCATTTCCTTGTTCTTCTCGGGCAGCTTATGAACCAAAGCATGAACAGCGCACACCCTGTAGTTCTGGTCATCTGACTCTAATAAAGTAATAAAGGTAACAACAACAATAATAAATATAAAATAGCAGATATTAAATAAATAAAACAGTTATGTGCAACCTCCCCACAGTGCAGTCATATAAGTGACTTATGGTGCAAGGTTAAAAACAGACTGATGTGGATTTAGTCACCAGTGGAATACAGTCCAGTATTAGTGCCATGTATGCTTCGATTTATACATAAATAGTACATTTAATTGTAAATGTTATAATTTGACTATGCTCTGAAACTTAATCTCTCTGTTATGTATAATAATAAAAAGTAAATAGAGCAGTTGGTCAAATAAATCACTTATATTCTCTCTGTTGGTAACTTTTCATTACTTACTGACAGCCATGATAAAGTCTTTGTGGAGCTTGAAGGTCATCAGAGGCTCAGAGAGACACCTAGTGAATACAGAGAATGTTTATTTCCTGAGTGACATAGGTCTTTTGAATGTGAGCCCCTTCCTTTGTGAATCAGCTGCCGCATTGAATGTATGACCGACACCAGGAAGGTTACAGAGAAGCATTATGGACATACGAGCTGACCTGAGGTAATTCTTCAAACCACTGGTGATAGTCTTGTTGTCCCAGGTCTCTGGATCCAGGTTCATATCCACAGGTGCTTTGGATGCTATTGGAAACATATTTTTTTATATCACCACAACGACTAAGCTGTACACGGCCCAAAGAAACCAATACAATCTGTCACAAATGGACAAGCTGCTTACAGGAAAAACCCTGAATGTCTTCCTGTGTGAAAAAGATTTGAAAAGAACTTTAAATAAATGTAACATGAATACACACATGGTGTCTCACAGCGATGGAAATCAAGTTATAGAAGCTTTAATAAATCACTCAGACATTTCCTGTTCAAATGTATGAGAACAAAATTAACGTGGTCCATCTAATATGGTTATGACAAAGTAATCTGAGACCAGATGGCTGTTACAGTGGCACGCCACAAGGAGGACCTCTTTGCTCGCTGTACAGGGTCTCCGTATGTTTGCTAAGGCTCTAGATTCAACCTGTTCATACGCTTAGGCATTAAAAACATTACAAAATTAACACTTTGTTTGTTTGGTACATTACATATGAGAATATCACTAACAAAATATACAGTATAAGGTGGCAGTAGTAGCAGCAGCAGTTTCACTAGTAGTGTATACAATATATAGTAAAGTACATACAGTACAACAAAGGGCTTCTAATTACAAGCTTGATAAACAGTAATCAAGCTGAAGGTTTTGGCACCAGCCCCTTTAAATACATGGCAAATTAGTAGTTTCAGTATTTCGATGATATTAAGGTTACTTACCAAAGACTGTGGTCATCAGCTTCTGTACTTTGGAGTTCACCCCTCCAATTCTGTACAGTCCCATTGTATTTACGCCTGCATGGCAATGAAAATGAAAATAAATTAAATAATAATAATTAGCAAAGATTTTCTCCTCAGTTACGACTTGTGCCAATGCAGTGTGTTCACTCTCCACTAATGAATGAAGTGCATTGTTATTCATAATCACAGCCAGGCTGCGTTCAAGTCATTTAACAAATAAATGCTGAGCAATTTAAATATCTCACCTGTCATCTCCACCAGGTCAATACATTTCCTTACAAAGTTAAAGCCCGCCTCATTAAGAAATGCTGTAATACAACAGTAGAATAGGGTTGACACGTCAATTACCGCTCGGGTTAACCACGTATCAAGCAGGAATAATAAATTCTCCCCTGTGCTTGAGCTCTGACTAATAAGATACAAAGCCTGTTCTGCTATGTCAGCTGAGTGGGTGTGAGTCAAGTAAGTGTGTTCATACACAGAAATAGCTATAGGTAACAAACTGTGTGTTTGATATGTGAGCTGGAGATTTTATTCCCAGTCTGTAGAGATGAAAGATTGAAAAGCAAACTTACTCTCGTCCTTTTTGCTTAATATGGCTGGCAGGTTGTAAATCTAGAGAAAGTTTAACAAAGATCGTTATTTTGCAAGTTTACAAGATCATTATTTTGCTTCAAAATTGAACAAATTCTCCAAAAGAAGAGTTTCTTGCCAGCAGTGCTTCTATAACTTTAAATGGACAGTCCTGTTATTAGCATAAGTGGATAGTGAGGTCATGGTTTCTGAAAAAGACCTAGACTGAAGCCACCAGAAGAGGGCGCTTGTGCAACTAACAACTAAAAAAAACATCCTAGCCAAACAGCAGCCAGATTACAACAAATAATTCAAAAGGCAAACAGGCAGAGTTCTTTACCGGTTCCTTGCCGTCCATTGCCTCCAGCCACAGTCTTCTGTTGGACTCTGACAGTGCCTGCAGTGTCATAACGCCATGCCTGGAACGATTGCAGAGAAAAGCTGGTTTCAGTCTGATCTCGTTGCCTTGGGGCTCCTGAACAGTCCATGTTTACACTGGCCGAAACCACTATAAAAGGACTAATGTGACTAAAATAGCTCATGTGCAAATGCTTGACTTGGAATTGTGCCCTTGGTCGGCTTGGTGCTTCGCATTCCACTCCCAATTAAAAGCCACATGTGCTTAATACAAGAGTGAGTCATTGGTCTCGCACACCACATGCACATACAGTTCATTCAAATTCTCAGTGTTCTACAGCTCAACAGCTTTTATATCTCATGTCTCATCTCACTGTGTCCCACACAGCATGAAACTGGTCTGAGCTGCACTTGATTTGTAGCACTGCTTCAGTTATCTGGTCATACTGGGAAACCAAAAACTTAACCCCACCCAGTAGTGATAGTTAGTACTAGCATGGAGCCATGTCAAGTTGCATGTGTTATGATTAATGTGTAGATTCAACCAAATTACAACTGAATAAATTTAAAAAACACAGTTTTAGTTTAACCTCGTGTGGTATTTGGCCATGCAGAGAGTTTGGATTTATTTGACCAGGCTTTCAGACCTTTGTGTCTGATATTAATGTGTTTGTCCCAATACAGTGATTGGTTAGGAACTTTACTTACAATGCTCACACCATTAAAGATTCAACAGGAACACATAAAACGACCTATTATCAGTTTTCACTTAAAGTACGTTCAGCTGCAGTCTCTGTGAAAATGGTCGGCAGTGACGTCTCCTGTCTTTTCTAAAAAGATGCATGGTTGCTGATTTTTAAAAAATAATTTTCTTTTCATTGATTTGACCAAATAAAATTCTATTTATCAAGGTGGGGGGAGATCCCTCAAAATGTGGGCAAATAAAACCACTATTTGCATGGCTAAATACCCTTTCAGTAAGTAGGGTGAACCAAAGTCTTTAAAAATGAGGCTCTGTGTTTTTGGCTGGCCTGATTCTGGCTGGGCTATAGGTGTAACCGCGTGTTTATTATAATGAGGATGAATGGATGAGCTTGAAGCTGGCTGGAGCTCGGCCCACATTGTCCTTGTGGTTGGAACAAGCACCTTGGGGCAGCGCCGTTTATGATAAATGAGTTGTCCTGCAAATAAACTGCAGTTATTGTCCATGCTCAGCAACACTCACCAAGGGTGAGCAGTGCTGGAACTGCTGGCGCAGTGCAACAATAACACACAGTGATGAGATAACCCCATATATGAGCTCATATTAAGCTTTTATAACTCCTGGCCGCTGTTAATCAGCAGGTGACCACTTAAGGTAGTTTGATCTTTGACCAGGGCTACTGCTCAGTAAAACAGTTAGATAAGAGTCTTCCTTCACAGCCAAAAAGATTTCACACTTCTAAAGAGAGGAAACACGATAATCAGATCCTTGCAATATACAGTACATAAATCAATTTATTATCAGAATAACTGCAGGTAAGTAGAAATAATTTAACATATGACTGTGTCCTTTTGCCCACACTGACCCAAGTGGAATTTGATTTTGAGAAGTGGTAAGAAAGCAACAGTATTTCATTAGAGGGTTTGGATTTGAGATTGGGTGAATGACGCGATTAGCAGCACACATGCAGCACATGCAACTGCGCTGAAAGGGCAGAACTGCTCAGGTCACATACCGGACTTTAAAGAAAAACTGAAGTGGTCTGAAAAGAGTTCCACGATAGATGTCATTTCTACATCGACATGGACACAGAGAAAAGACGGAATCGGTTCAAAAATAGAGTAAATATTGATGCTGTGGACAAACAACAAACAAGAGCTTGGGAGGGTGAGGACTTGAGGAACATGCGGGACACAAACAGAGCTGAAAACATCTGGTAAACAGGGAGTCTTTGTTCATCAAACCTGAGCAGCTGTTGCATGTTCAAATGCTGTGAACTTCAATGATAATCGGGGGTAATTGTCAGTACCAAGTATCAACACAGCACAAAATGCACGAGGATGAAACACCCAACATGCATATCAATCTTAAAATATGTTAGTTTAAAAAACACTTTTGCACTTATAGATCAAAGTACTACCATGGTAACTACAGTTCACAGTTTTTCTAGTGTAGCATATTGATTTATGGACACTAAATGGTGTGTAATAATTATGATCTTCACAGACGCCGTCCTACCTAGAGATGAAAAGTGTCAGTGGAGCTAGTTGGATTAAGTATCACACTTTCTCTATGTTTTCAGTCCAGGTAAGTGACAAGACATTTTGGGAACATGTAGCTGATCCAGTCACAAACCTCTCTGCCACTTCGATATCAAAGCAGAAACGCTTGTCGATGGAGTCCGTTTTCCTCCGAATGCACGACTTCAGCTTGAACATCTCTGGCTGGCTCAGGACAAGGCCATTCTGAAAATAAAAACACTATACATGAATAAAAAACCTGACTGCACTACCTCTTCCCTTGCATTTGCTATTATTTATACAAGCCTGACGAAGGTAATATCATCTTTCACTTAGTACATTTGAAGACCTATAGGATGGTAGCAGTCGGCCGATTGAATCCACAAAAATAACTAATGATTATTAGATCTGCATGAGGTGTCATGTAGTTTTCACTAAATGAAGTGAATCTCTTCAGATGATTGTGGACAAAACAAGGCTAATTTTCTTCATCAGAAGTTTATTTTCACTCCTTGTCATTTGGTACCTTTGAACCTTTTTTGTGTGCACGGAGTTTAACACGTCTTTAGTTTTCTGTGTTCATCTTGACTTTTTTCCCTTGTGCAGTGAGACTGTCTCATTACGCCTCAAAGTGGTTCTTTGTTCCACCCACACTCATATTTGCTCGAGCTTTTCTCAGTTATCATTTGCATGTGTAACTAAGCCAAACTAAACTAATACTAAACCTAAAACTACCTGTTTCCCGGCCGACTTGTTTTCATTGTTGCTCATGGTGAAGGTCTTGCTGCCTTTCTCATATGTGCAGTAGTGACGTGTCCATGTGCATCCCAGAGGACCTAGGGCAAAAAATAAAAAAGGTCTTCCAAAATATTACATGTTTTATTTTTCTCTGAATCAAAGGATTCTAGAAAAACTTCTGAAAATCAATTTGCAATTAAAGGGTCATAAATCAGATGCTGTTTATCACTGTGTATAAAAATCCACCATTTGTGGCATCCCCCCCTTGTTTGAGAGCACATCAAAGTAAATCAGTGAACAGGATGAATTATGAGAGATCTGTGAGAGGATCTCTTCTGCAGGGGCATGGGAGAACTCAAGACACGTTTATGGTGATGGATGTAAAACCATGCACTTTTAAGTGTGTGGGGGGAGGGCTGGTTGGCTGGAAAGACTTACGTTTCTCCTGGGCATATAGGAAGCCTTCCATCGTCCATTGGCCTGGGGGTCTATAGTCCTGATCTGCAGACCTAATCCTCTTCATCAGCTTCTCCACTTCCTGTTTTGTGCTCTCAAAATTGTTTCTTGTCTGTGTGGAAATTGTGTTACCACATTAACCACAACCATCTTGTGCACTGGATATTTTCTCATCTCAAAAATATCATAATTTTGCTTCAAAATGCTCAAACACCTAACAAATGCTTCATCTTTGTGCCGATGCCTGAGAACACACTGGCAAACCAGTTCAAAATACAGACATGGCATCTTATTCAAACACATTTATATTGGAAAAATTGCACTTGAGGTCATCCCAAATTACGGCAGTGACTCAGTTGTTAATGCTTCAAGAAATCCTGATTTTGGAGTCAATAGGTTCATCATGAGTTTGTTTCATATTCCCTATGGACAGAAGCTGAGCCAGCATCACCTTCTCCAGCTCCTATTAGAGCCCTGTGCATGTGAAGACATAGGGAGAGGGCTATGGAGTGGAAACTGGCAAGGCGATGGTACTGACATTTTGGGTCCGAGAGAAATTTGAGCCCTCAGGCTGCAAGTGGTGAGGTCATAGTGATGGAAGGACGGGCCACTGCAGCAAAAGTAGTTTCACTACAAATCCTAACTATTTTTTGACACAGTAAATGGCCTGTGGAAACTGTCTGCGCCACACCACTCTTAAAATATTGATCCACTCTGCAGCAAAGAATCTCATTCAATCACACAGCAATCTATTTGTGAATACTCTGCTTGTTATACTGGGGTATGATAAGCTGCAGAATCTGATTACGTGGCTGGATGCTTTTGTGCACAACTCCTGAGGTGTTGAGACTTACATTCTGTAGGTTGAACTGGAGCTGTTGTTTGTACGGCTCAAATTCATGAGCCAGCTCATATCCTTCATGGTAGAATGTAAACAAACCTTGAAGAAAGGCCAGGAGCTGGAGAGGAACAACATTTAAGGGTAATTTACTGAGTTAATATACAATATAGAGCTTGTTTCTCAATTTGCACAACAGAACACATATTAAAAAGGTATACAGGAACATAAAAGAAGCAATAATGACACTATTATCATTTTGTACCTCCCAAACATGGGACACTCAGTCTGTAGCTTATTTGTAGTTTAATTATAATACTCCTGTTAAAAAATGTATGTATTTCGTTTTAATACTTTGCTGTCAGTCATTTTGTGTGAGCACACTGGGTACTTTTGGAATAAAACTCAAATGATACACATTGTTAAATTATCTGTTAAACAAATTAGCTTCTTATTAAACAGAATTGTACTTTGTAGAAAAACTGAATGAGCAAATCTGACAAAATCCATATGTTTATAGAGATGCAATGAACGAATGATGGCAAAAAAGTAAGTTTGATAAAGTTGTGGTTCTTTATGGCTGACATATTTATTTTATTTTCTCTATAATCCAGAAACATCTTTGAACAAAAGCAGTGGCAGCGTTGTTGGAGGAAAACTGATCCCATCTCAAGCAGTGAGGATCCAGCAAACATAGAACTGCTCTCACTCCAATCCTCAGATACAACCACTGATTTGCTTTTTAGGATGAGGCCTGGATGAACCATCTCATCTGCGCTCAGATTCATCATGGGCAAGGTTGAGTTTCGTCATTTTTCTGGGATATGAAGATTTACATTTCTGGCCTGGGTTCTGGGTGAGCTGCTAGTGGATGTAAACAAATGGGAGTGGGGAGGGGGGGGGCTTTAAAAACAGCGACTTGGCTCTCATGTCATGTTCTCAGACATCTAACACGTAGAGAACCTACTATAATGTTTCCTGGAAACTTCTCTGCTAAAGATGTGACAGCTGAATCCACAGGTCTGTATGGTTTTGATACAGCCTTTGATTTGCACGTTCACTTAGTCACGCTTTCTTTGACAACAAACACTTTATCTCATTTTCACCACTAGCTTCCCCAGAAGGATCAACAATTTTACTGTAGGTGACAAATGTTTGGAATGTACAAGAACAAATTCTGTACCTGTGAGAAAAATATAATTGTGCCTGTCTTAACTCAGAAGACAACAGACATGTCTGTTCGCAGTAAGTCGAATGATTCTGTGCTATACTGACATCTATTCCACTTAAAACTAATCTATTACTGTATGAAGCAAAAAAGGAAAAGCAATTATCACATCTTCAATGCATTCAGCTCTAACTGAGCACAATCAAACGAAATACTTTTCTTACCGGTTCAACAAACTCAAATTTCTTCTTTTCTTGCACTTCTTGTATTTTGAAAACATACTCGAGCGATGCATCATAAAAGAGTTGTCTCTCTTTATCAATCTGTGTGTCAGCCTGAGAATGAGCAAACAAATCAGGGTTAGTGCCACAGCAAAGGCAGGTGTGGACAGATAGTTAATGCTCACATCGCCACCTGGAAACAGTGTGCGCACAATGAACAAAGAACGGTGCATAAACAACAGCTTTATTTTTAGGAGACACTCAGCGAACCATAAACAGCATTAGTCAAAGACATGCTGAGGATCATAAAATTTGTTTTGGTTTTACCTCCTGCAGATATGCCTCCTTCTTTTTGGAAGACAAGTTGAGGTGTCTCTCAAGGGTGGAATAGTATTTCTCTGTTTCTTTATAAAATTTCTTCTTCCCCTCCTACAAAGGTTCACAAGACAAAGGCTTAAACATTAAACCACAGGGTGTCATGTATTCTTGATGTGTGTGTGTGTGTGTGTGAGACTGAACTGCCACTAGGTGGAGGTCTCACTACATTCACTCTCCATTTGCTACTCGTCATTTAAAATTCCTGTCAATAGATGATTACAGTCAATAAAAGTGGCATATGTCCACGTAATGACGAGCAGACAATGTCAACATGAACAATGAGGGCTGTGCGTTATCAATAGCGCTTCTGAGAGAGAATATATACGACATTATTCTCACAGTGTCCTAGCTGGAGACATATGTTCACAGCAAAATACATAACACTGTAAATCATCAATAGCATAATGCGTTTGGCACCATCACAGACAGGACCAACTGGATGCTGTTTGATTTTTCAAGTCAGGCTCAGAATTCAGACATAGTGTCCCAGAAGGCTTTAAGGTCACAAATGAAAACAGGCTGTTTTATTTCAGATGCCTTTTAAAACATATGCACTAAGCTATTGAACAATTAAGCCCCCCCTCTGCCCAAGCAGAGAGGACCTGCTTATCTGAGGGCCTTTCTGTGCCTCATCTGCAGGTCTGACCAGGATTTTAATTCCTTTCAATCCAAACTTTCAGGAAGTAGCTAATGGGGAGACAAAGACAGGGGGTGGGCAAAGTGTGACGGCCTGGCCACTGTAACCAGATCCTACTTGTTGGTTTTCATTCCCATGGCCCCGAAATTTAGCAAGTCTAATCCACTAGCTACTGATATGAGCTAGAACAACATTCTGCCTCAACAACACCCATAGCAGTTAAACACACTAACCCTCCTACATAACTATTACAAGTCCAGCACAAAAATCAATAGATAATTTCATGTAGTAGCATCTTAGTTCCCATTTTCTTGTCATGTTTGCCCAGGAGTGTGTATGTGGGTGGGTGGGGGGGAATCAATTGCATCTATACTGACTATTCTGAAAGAAAGTAAAATAAACATAAGATTAAATATCCCACTGAAAGGAAAGAAATTTCCCTTTTGGATCAGGTGCTTTTTGTATTAGTGAACAAAGTGGAGTTGACTGTCTGCCGCTGTGAGTTCTGTTCACATTATATTATTTTGTAAGCACACATACAACTGAAGCTCTGGGAAGATACAAGCACACACGCTCACACATATGCAAATGCTGGGGATCACATTAAATTAAGAGCTTTTTTGTTTAGCTGAGCCCTACAATCACAGCAGGAACTTTCCAGTGTGAGCATGTCAGAGAAGTCCTCACAAAAAAAAAAAAACTCCTCCGTACGTCTGGACTAACTCGTTCACACTTACAAAGAGCAGGGGGTGACTCAGAGCTACAGCGAATCTGTGAGGCAGAGGCAGCCTGATTAAGTCGCACAAAGTGTCCGGCTTTGTTTTGATCCGGCAGGACATACTACCGTAATGATACCCTAGGAGAGCACCAGGTGTTTGTTGGGTTGTCTATGTGTTGAGCGCACCCACCCCCTCTGGATATGTTTCTGCAATCAGAGTGGAATATGAGTGATTTAAATTGCAAAGACATTCCTAGAAGAGGGGGCTTCAGTGCAGACAAGAGACAAGAGGCACCACCAACACGTGGTGGCAGAGAACAGAGATGTGGATAGATATGTATATACCCTGAAGCATACATGAAGCAGGGGTGTCTGATACAAAGTAATGCCAGTGCTCCAGAGTAATCAGATGGCTGGGAATAGATAAAGCCAAAGCACTTCCAAACACTCTGGTGCAGAAAACACACATGAACCCACCACTTGGGACATTTCCTCATCAGATTGCTTGGTGCACCCTCATGAATAAATCAGTTGCAGGAAGAGAATATTCTGCTGCAGATTCCTTTGTAGTGGAATTTCTAACTGGCAAGTCTCATGTTACAATTAAGAGCACTTTGATGCCGGCTGTAGCGTGGGTGAGTTCGCTAATTATTAATATAAAGTTGCAGGGAGAAAAATGACAAGAAAAACCACAGGCAGCTTTTCTTCTACATTCCAATAAATATATGTAGCAGTTGATCTACATATATTTATTGGATGCTAATCCTGCCCACGTTTGAACTGAGTGTAGTCATCAGGTATGCTCAGTTTGCTAAAGAAAAGATGCTGACAACAGACAAGAATAAATATTTTGATGCTTGCTGTTCATTGTCAGTTTTGACGCTGGCCCTAACAAACCTCAGGGCCATCATTCCTGAGCCTCTCATCACCATGGTAACAGATGTAAGCAGCAAGCGAGGTCGAACGTGTCTGAGTGTAAATAGAGGAAAGAACCCCAGATATCACACACTAGCACACTGCACTTCCTCATTGTCAACCAGCACCATGGAATAATACAAACATCACTGGCTACCGAGGCGTCACGTCAGCATCCATCATCACATGTTCATTTGAAATGGATTCTCTGAGCAGTGACATGAAAGAGCGAGCTCTCCCTCCTGTCTCTGCTAATTAGAGACAGCTAATTGGAACACGGATCCAGAATGGTGATTAAATAGCAATAGTAACATTATTTTAATGCTCCGCCACAGATGAGATAGTCTCACTTCTGCAGGGGAGGCAGGGAGAACACAAGGCTCCAGTTTCAGTTCAGTTTGCTGCACAGCCAGAAATATTTCCCTCCTTACCTGAAATCCTCAGGACGTGTCCTGAAGAGACATCGCAGACAGCAAGAAGTTGGCCAATTAACACTAAATAATTACAAACATCTGCTTCTGAGGAATTGAAAAACAAACACCCAGACTTCTAAACCATCTTTATTTAGTGTGTGTGTGTGGGTGTGAGGCAAATTGTGAGACATGTATCAGAGCGTCTGCTCTCTCTGAGCAGAATAAATAGTTCTAATATAAGTTCAAAGGTTATACATACTATGCAAAGTTTGCCGAAGAACAGTGATATTTCTGTTGCATCTGATCTCAGAATAACTGAGCGACACTACAAGGACAAGGATGCCTGTATTTTCATAAGATCAATATTCAAAAGCTTCTTTATTATTATAGTGCAACAAAGTCATTTGAACACAACTCTGAACTCTTCATGAATGTAGGTGTGTGCTGTATCTGACAGGCATCCCTTAGGCTTTGCTCTGTCAAGATTATCCTAAAACTTGTTCTTATCACCTACAATAACTGGAGAAATGGTGGATGGGAAAAGAAAACTTCAGGAAGTTTGAGACTCCTTAAGACCACACATCCGATGATTATTTGTTGTGTACTACATTGCCTGTGACTATCACCATGTGATTTCTGTGTTGCTGTATCCAGCTTTGAAAGAGAAAGACTACATTAGATAGAGAACTTTAACTGCTGGCCACTCAGTAATGATTATTTTCATGTCAGTTTGTTTTTGAATTTCTTTGGATCTCGGCATGATGTCTAGCTTTTGATGATCTTTTGGTCTACTTCACTTTGTCAGGCAGGTCCTATTTAAGTGATTTCTTGATTGCGAACAGGTGTGGCAGTAATCAGGCCTGGGTGTGGCTAGAGAAATTGAACTCAGGTGCGATAAACCAGTGTTTTGACAGGGGGGCAAACACTTGTTCACACAGGGCTATATAGTTTTGGATTTTGTTTTCCCTTAATAATAAAAACCTTCATTTAAAAACTGCATGATGTGTTTACTTGTGTTATCTTTGACTAATATATAAATTTGTTTGACGATCTGAAACATTACAGTGTGACAAACATGCAAAAAGATAAGAAATCAGTAAGGGGGCAAACACTTTTTCACACCACTGTATATATATATATAAAAAAAAAAATCACTAAAGATTCCAAGAAGTCACTGTTCAGTAGCAGGTACCGACAGATGAAAAGTGGTTAGAAGAAAATGTATGCCAGTGTAAAAATAACATAACACAGGTTTGTAGGTAAAAACCTGTCACCAACTGCTCAGATACACCAATGTAAGATGAGCTGACCTTAAGAACCAGACATCAGTTTCAAACATTATGTGAAAGTGTAACAGCTATAACAGTAGTTAATAAAGATGACATTTTACTGTGCACTAATTCTTTCAGAAATAACACATGATAATTATGTGGTACTCCTGACTCACCATACGTCCAGGACCTTGACTTTTAAATCAGTTGTAGATGATGATACAGTGATTGCATTTAACACATATTTCTTTTGCAAAAAGGCAAGAAGCTCATACTGTGCGTTTACAGCGGATGGCTGCTGCCTTCAAACAGCTAGAGACTGACCTTACAGAGTCCACCTCGTTGCTCGAGTCTGAGCGTCATCTGCAGTGTTGTCATGTTGTTTTTTTCAAAACCTATTGCAATTTTATTGTCTTATTGTAGTGTGATTAATCAATAACATTAACTGACACTCTTAATTTGCATACGTATCTCCAGGACATCACTTTCATCTTCAGATATCTGGTATTTTACCTGGTTGGAGATCAGTTTAATGAGTTTAGCAGCAATACCAACAAAAAACAAATTAATAAACTACAGTTCTGATAATCAATTATAGTTACTATATGTGGGATTTTAAGATTTACTTAATTACTTACTTTGAGCAAATTAACATTCAGCAGTTTTGTAAAACATCAACAGGTTCCAATCATCAGACTGAAGTTCCACTGAAAATTTATTGAATGATCAGTTTGCTTTTTTGCTCAGCCCTAATTTCAAGCACTTTTTGCAAAACAATTCAAGAGAGACAGGTGGAAGAAAAGGCATATGCATAAAATATGTATTATGAATACACATATTTGTGTAATAGAGAGGTTTTCGTGCACCTCAGAGCTGGTGAACTTATCCCCAAACTGCTTTAATTGGTCCCTTTAGTTTACGCTGCCTTGATTAGCATATTTAGGGATTTCACAGCTTTAATGCAAATGTTGTTTGTTCCTCTGAAGACCACAGTCAAGAATCATCTGATGTCTATGCAGCCTTTGTAGGATGAGGACAGCTCAAATTATCGGTGGCCATCTGGGGTCTGTTTGCACTAATTCTTCACACTCAGCTAGTGGGGGACCCCTACGGTGGCCCTAATGTTGAACACCCTTGAAGGGAATAATACTGTCAAAATTCCAGAGAGCATGAATGCCACCCACCAGTTAGACATCGTCTGGTATTTTGTCCATGGGGTCTGTTAAAATTTCAAGGCCTTACACCTCTAACAACACATAGCCAAGTAGCTTCAGGCAGTTTACCTCCAAAGGTTATTAGTTTGTGGAGAGCAGGTTTACATGAGAGTTCAGGCCTAGGTTGAAATCTAAGTTGGAGGAGGACACTTAGCAGTTTAGTGGATGAACACAAGTGACTGCAGTGCCAGCAAAGAGTAGAGATACTGTGCCCTGAAACAGAATGTATTTTTATTCCTTATTTCAGTTCTGAAAACACTGTTCTTTCTTTGGAAACCTATCAACTTTCTTCTCACAAAAATATATCTGAAACAGAAAAAAGGAAGTGTAACAATAACTTCACTTCTACATTTTGGGGATCACTCTCAGCACTTTGACAGATGTGAGTTCCAGTGAAAATACATGATTGTTCTCATTTCTTTCTCTGTGTATTTGTTGTAGACTGTGCAAAGTTTGAGGTTTTTATTCCAAAACACTTGGTTCAGTCTTGCGTGAAGCAGACAATGTCTAATATGTCCCGTAGTGCTGCAGTCAATCTGCTAGTATGTGATGACCATGAGTGTTGTGCTTGTGTGTAAGAAGCTGATACACTGGTACGTAACCTCGGTGGGATTACTTGCACTATACCCAAATAAGGCCAGAGCTCCCGTTTGTCCGGCTGACGTGAAGCACAGTAACTGGAAGGGTCAGACAGGCTGCAGAGCTCCCCGGATTCCCAGAAGAGTGGAAAGTTGCTCAGCCATTCGTGATGTATGCCTTTTATCTCACACTAGTTGGGTTAATGTTTAGTGGGGGATGGGCCGTAGGAGGAGAGAGCCATTAGGAGGAAGTGGTCAGAGGAATATAAGAGGTAGTGGGAGTGATGGGGGCTGTGGCTTTTAAGAAACCATTTTCTAAACATAGAGAGTCCATGCAATAACAGTGAGCACTGTGATGTAAGTGAGGAAAAGGAGTGAGTTGACAGCAAAATATGCTATTTCATTACAGCTGATATCATTTGATGGCTGAGACATGAAGCCACAATGGTTACTTAGCCTGGCTGGTAAAAAGGAGAGTGACTGATATTCACACCTCAGCAGTAAGAAGAGAAATAGTTCCTTTACACTGTAAGTTAGCTTGTGAAGACAGCAATAAAGCACAGCAAAATGACTAGTTCTGCAGACTAGTGTAGTGATCTAAAATAAATCAGATGGGTGAGATTCTGCCTCTGAGGCTGGAATGTTCCTCACATGGGTTAGGGCTATATACAGATGTGAAAATGATTCACAGAGTCCAGTGTAGGGATAGCAGTGGACTCAGCAGGAGATTTGTGTAAAGGCAGAAATTCTACCGGCTTGTTCATGTGTGATCTCACCAAGGGAATGACCACAAACGAGCTGTGGTACTTTCATTTTAAGCCTTTGTATTGGCTAGGACATGGCTTGTAGCAACAAACCCACACAGTTCTTCACAGTTAACTCCAGCTTCAACAACACACAGCCAGTGTGAAACCAGGATGCCTTCATGTAACACTGTAGAATCTCTACTGATATGAATCTACTATATCCAAGGTTAGGGTTAGGGAGGAATGCACTGCACATAACAGGATTACAATAATTTGATTACAAAAATGGTGAATACAATGTATTAGATACTAAATTTGCAGTAATAAGATTATAAATGCATTAAACTGTCCTTGCTGCTTTATCATGCAGAAGCATCTTTGAAGGAAGAACTTTACTGGGGCTGCCCCCTAATGATTGAACCTTTGTTTTTATTTTATTATTAATTAATAAATAAGCACAAGCTGGCACACATCACATGCACAGTAACAACACGCACTGTGGTTAACTGACAGGAGAAGCTTAAACTTGGCTATATCCATGTCTCAGAAGACAAATATTTCATATAAGAGCATTGTTTCAACAGAAATACACGCGTGCTGTCTGTCTTGTTATTTCGACAAGTCCATACGGCAGCCCAATGTTATATATTGTCAATTTAAATAGGTCCCAATTTAAATATTGCATCATATGCAGTTGCCTTTTATTGATTTTTAAATGCCCAGAAACATTTTTCTGTCACTCTTTTGCATTTAAATACCAATGTTCATGTGGTTGGAATCATCAGTGAAATTCATGCCAGTTGATTTTCTGACAGTCCAGGGTATACGTTTATATTAAAAAAGGAAGAAAGAAAAAGAACAAATAGTCAAATCCTCAGTCGGGTACAGCCCTAAACTTTACATGGACTGATTGTAAAGATTGTTGTCTACAGGTTTCTTTTTCACTGCTGGCCAAATGCTTAGAAATAAATGACATAAAATACAGTGTAAACTAGAGTAATGTGGTCATTAATGGGGTTTGATATATCTGTAAAATGCAATTAATGGTGCTTCACAAGACATCACCCACAGCTGTATTGGAGAATGTATCTGTCAGATACAGAGAACTGTCTAGTTTATTATACCACATTTAACTAATCATAAGATGACCACCTTAGAAAACTGATGACTTTTTTCAACTCAAGCCTTAATATCTTTTAAAAACAAACTGATGTTTCTGTTCAACTCCTCCTGCTCCCAGTCTATTTAATTAGGAGCAGACCACTTCTCTTACCAGTGTCACATTTTACTTTTAATTAATGATTTACACACTGTAGGAGAGATGAAGGGGGTGAGGAGACGAAGCGAGGGCGTCACAACACACGATGTATCTTCCACTGCTCAATTACTAATTGCGCATGTAGGCGGTCTCTTACCTTCGCAGCGCCGATTTGCTCCTTCCGAAATTTTTCCAAGGGAGTAATCAAAACATCATCTGCATTCTGAATCTGTAATGAAAAACAAAGACAGAGACAGACAGATGTCAGACTGACTGGAAGCAGGGATCTGACTCACTGTAACCTCCTGAATAATTCAAAATGACTATCAAAAGAAAAACATATCACAAAAACCTCTGATCTACCAGTCATTCTATTATATTACAAAGCTCTTGTATGACTTAAAGGAAATTATATCACTGGAAATGTCCCAGTCCAAACACAAGTGGAGGACAGAGCAATCCCGTTCATTGATATCTCTTAGACCAGTGACAATGAACAATGCGTTTGAGTGAGGTACCAAAATGAGCACAGCAGTGATAAGAGAGCACTCAACAATGGTCATGGTAGAAGAAAATGGAGGCTTTTTATGGGAGCTGTGAAGCACAAGCATTGTCAGCCCTCTCTGAAATATGACACAGCACAGCAGATGAGGGAGCTTCAACTGCAGCCTGCGATGCATTTAAATTTTTGTGCATGTCTCCACATATTGGCAAGCTCCCCTGAGTCATGACTGGAGTTAAAGGTCTCTCCTGGAGTCTCTACCTTCTCATTCCAGACAGAAACAGATAAGGTGAGATGTATTGTGCCAATTACCGTCTATGCTCAACTCGTGTGGGTGAGTGTTTGAGAAAGGTGCCATTAAGGTGCTTCTGAATTTCCTGTGGATGGGTTTTCATTCACCGAGATTAGATGACATCAGACTGGTGTGGCTGCTCTATGGGAGGCGCTGTCACAAATGACACGGCTCTTAGCTTGATTTAAGGTGTTATTCTGTGTGGTGACTGTATGTGATAAACTAAGGCCTGAGCTCTATCATACATCTATGATACCAGCACTAATTTAGAGGTGTCGGCTCAGATGGACTATCAGCTCCCCGGCTACAGTCCTCTGAACACACACACACACACACACACACACACACAGTCTCAGGATAGAGTTTTTGTTTTGAACCATTAATCACAGCACATTTTCATTGTCCCAAAATAACGGTCAGCTCCATCACCAAACCAGAACAAGTGACTTCAAAAGACTGCTACCGTCTCTCTGAGCCTGCTGCGCTTCTTTCCCCCTTTTGTATGCAGCGATGTGTGATGCTGTAAGCTTGCTGTGTAAATTTGTAGCTTTGTTGTAATAATGTACTTTAATTGTCCTGTGATATCTGTGGTCCTTCTAACACAGCCAGACTTTTCATATGCTTCCAAATCCTTTCTGTCAAATTACCGTGTGCACAATAACTATTCTCTACACGGCACATATTTGGTATTTTCTAAGCTGACATTTCAGACTTTATAGAGCATTCTGTGCCATCACCGACACATGCCATGATGCATAATGATCATTTACATGTTTTGCAAAAAAAAGTGGTGTACATGTAATTGACACTGCAGTTTTTGATCAATTTTAGGAATCTGATTGGATCAAACTGTGAAAGTAAAAGTAAGTGAAATCATGCTGAAATGATTTTGGTATCTTTCACAGATAAATAAATATCAGACAAGTGGAAAGAAGAATCAATAGTGACCCATTAATTACAGCTCTAGAGCAGAAGGTGTCGGAACAAGAATCTGTAGAAAGAGAACTTCACTAACAAATGGGTTGGCACTTCATGCTATACTCACATTATATAATAACAAAATATACTAGGTATATGCTGTACATGTCCTTTTACAATAGAGAGCATATACTGTCAATGTGAATAAGATTTAAAATCAGTTGCTTATAGTAAATGTGAAAGAACGCAAAAATCTCTTCACAGAACAACATAACCACACAACACCTGTAGCTGTATAGAATCTTTATGTAAGCTAAAGGAAGGTAATGTGGCTATAGGTGAGTCTCCAATAGGAGAGCAGAGGACACCTAACGGTCATCGTATCTAGCTGTTATCAATCTGCCGTCACAGCAAAGTCATCTCGTTATCTTCTGTATCAACAGAGAGAAGGATACTACTCTGCCAGTGTGATAATGTCATTTCCTCTGTCTTATCTCTCATGCTTTCAGTCTAACTGAGCCTGCAGTTTAAGCTACAGAATTTATGTTCCCATATATATTTAAACATAGAAACAA